GGGAGAATACATCCCAGAACCCAGTATGAATTTTTGAAAGAATGGCTATTTGGCTAAAAAAATCAAAAACTACATGAATGCTCCTTTCCTAGAATGTTTTCATTTAGGTTTATTTCTTGATTAGTAATTCTAAAATATATTTCAACCTGGAACTTTTAGTTTTCAATAAACTTCATGGAAGAATTAAACTTTTGGGAGGAAAAGAAATGATGCACAGAGAATGATCCCACAGGAAAAAAAGAAATAAACTTCCTGGTGCATGTGACACAGTTAATATCATACATAATTAATTATAAACCAAAGGCAGCATTATAAAACATAAATGTTGAAAGACAGATAAAATGGAAGAAATCTATTTCTCCTTATGCCAAGCAGTAGCTTTGCATTTTAATAAAATTTAAATGCCTCACAGCAAGAAAGATGATTGGAATAGATTGTAATAACTCAAAAATAAGTACACTTTAAACAGCCTCTGTGATGAATATGTGATTATGGAGAATCAGTCAAAAAGGCTAGTCAGGCATTGTTCCACTTTGATGCTCCCAGAAGCAGGATGACTGATGGCCCTCAATTAACAAAGGCACAATGAGAGACACAAAGAAAGTCGATAGGTTGACTTGCTGAAATACACAAAGATGTTAGTCTGGAAGGTGACAATTGCAATTTTGGTGTGTTAGGGATGTGTACAAAATATTACAAATATCCAAAACAATCTAGAATATTTATTGAGAATTAAGAAGACAAAAGGACAAAGGAAAAGACAAATGGATGCATAAACAAAGATAAAAAGTTCAAAATATTTGGTGGCTTTAGGTGAATGTGACAAGTGACTATAAAACATGGATTGGCAAAGATTTTCTGTAAAGAAATAGATAGTAAATGTTTTAGTCTTTGCAGGTCATATAGTAGTCTCAGTCTCAACTACTAACTCTCCTGTTGTAGTGAAAAAGCAGCCACAAACAATAGGTAATTTAATGGGGGTGGTTGTGTTCCAACACAAGTTTATTTACAAAAAATCATGGGGGGTCAGATTTAAATTGCAGGCCTGTAATTTGTCAACCCATGCTATAAAACAAACCAGTTTATTGTAAACAACAGAAGGTATAAACATGTATGTGTGTGTGTGTGTGTGTGTATGACAGAGAGAGATCAATAATTTTTGCTTTGATAGTTGTTGAAGTTACAGTAAGTTTTTATTGTGTTTGGTCCAGCATGTACATGAGGGTATAGCTGAGCGAGTAGATTAAATCCAGGCATTCATATTATTTTCCAGCTTTCTAGATGATTTGAGGTGCAGCCATATTTGACAATGAAGGTGCTAAAGAATGCTTTTCAAATTTCAGTGTGCAAATCCATCACCTTGAGTTTTGTTAAAATGTAGATACTCATTCAGTAGCTCTGCGGTGGGGCTTGAGATTTTGCATTGCTATCAAGCTCTAAGATGAGGTTGATGGTGCTGGTCCACCGACCACATTGTGAGCAATAGGATACTGGCGCTGGTCTTCAATGCCTGGGAAGCCCATATGCTGCCCCGGGAACTTATGTATCTGGTTTAGGCTGTGGCCTGGGCATTGAGATACATAAAGGCTCTGCAGGTGATTCTAATGTGCAGCAAAGTTTGAGAACTTCTGTGTTAAAGCTCAGGATGATTTATCCAGTTTAGTTATGTCCAGTTTAGTTATGCCCTAATGTGGTTCCTTTTCATCATTCTCCCCACAACCTCCATCCACCCATCCCTCTCCTTTTCAGATTCAAACATCCAGATGAAGGTGGGGGATCAGGGTTAGCACTTCATCCTTTTGTTCTTGTCCATCTGTGAGGAGTGGGAGGAAGTTCAGGATGGAAACAGGAAGGTTAGACAACTTGGCTTTGGGAAGAATAAAAAGTGTTCCAGGGGTGATTTTAAAGGAAAGCTGGTTGAGACAGAATTGGAGGGGTGGGATTGTCACAGAAAGGTGTCACCACATAACTCGCCTCTAGTCTTGGGCCTGAGTGTGGGGCAGTGAATACAGCAATGCATCCTCCTGAGTCCTGGCAGCACATGATAACCAAAGCAGATTCTAAGGGTTTGTCCTTCTCAGTGTTCAGGGTGACAGTGTTGGCAGAAATGCAAGAGAGACCCCCAGTGGCAATGTATAGAAGTGAAATCTTTTCCCCAAAGTATAAACATTACAAAGGAACTTAGAAGTGAGTGAATGACAAAGATGGTGACGATGATGATAAAAAATGGCTAACATATAATGTACTTACACTGTGGCAGCATTGTTTTAAGTGATTTACATACATTAACTCATTTAATCTAAACAACCCAATGAGGCTGATGCTTTTATTATCCCTATATTACTATGAAAAAATTGAGGCACAGAAAAGTTAAATAACTTGCCTATGTCTGTCTAAAATGAGGGCCCAAGTTGGGATTTGAACCCAGGCAATCTGAGGCTCAGAAACCACTGCACAAAATTTTCTCCAAAACAGGAAATTAAGAAGAACCCTTGGCAGTGGTGGGCAGATTGCTCAAGTTCAGGAGTTCGAAATCAGCCTGAGCAAGAGCGAGACCCCATCTCTACTATAAATGGAAAGAAATTAATTGGCCAACTAATATATACAGAAAAAATTAGCCGGACATAGTGGCACATGCCTGTAGTCCCAGCTACTTGGGAGGCTAAGGCAGGAGGATTGCTTGAGCTCAGGAGTTTGAGGTTGCTGTGAGCTAGGCTGACGCCATGGCACTCACTCTAGCCTAGGCAACAAAGTGAGACTCTGTCTCAAAAAAAAAAAAAAAAAAAAAAAGAAGAACCCTCAATTTGAAGTTTGAGCCACTCAAAAACAGATGTTTGCTCTGCACTTTCTCATATCTAGAGAAAAACAGTTAATGAACATAGATATTTAAGTAGGTAGAATCTGAGACAAATTAGAGAGCACAGAAGTCCTTTAAAAAGGCAGAGAAAGGGACACAGTAAGAAAAAAAATCTTGACTAAGAAGTGTAAAGGACAATTGCATTTTTTTTTTTTGAAAACTGAACTCAAAATGCCATAACCCTAACTTTTAGGGAACTGTTCAAGTGCAGTCATGGGGAAATGTGGAAGATAATTAATGCAAAGCTAAACTTGTTCATATTTTAATAAATGTTCAAAGCAATCTACTAGCTTTACAAAGACACAGGCTACCAATGTGTCTTCAGCAATAGGATACATTCTGTAAATTTTGGACTTTTATCTTTGTAACCCACAAAAACCCCAAATTTTCTTTTGTGGCACAGAAGAAAAATAGTGTTTTGAGTATTTGTTCCCAGACATGGACAACCTTAGGGTTTACATGGATAGATATTTCATCTGTTCAAATAGAGAATGGACTGAGAGAAGGGAAAAGATTTTAAAGGGGAACAGGAAAAATATGTAGAGAAGCAGATGTATCATTTCCTTGTGGAATATTCTTTTCATTTGAGAAATGATTTATTTTTACCAATACCAGGAAGACAAGGTAAAAAGCTATCTCCTCTCCACATCTTGAAAGGAGTAACAAGAGGTCATTCTGAGCCTGTTGGGAATGGGGTGATTTTGAAATAAACTTAGGGAAGATATTGGGAGCCACAAACTGGCATAAGGTAATGATAAAGATGGAACCAGCCACCCTGTGCATGTTCAGACACCTCAACCATGGCCTAAAACTGTTAGCTGTTCTGTGCTTGGAGCTGGATTTGTCATACTCTCACTTCCATTCTCATTCTGGTGAGCTCATCCAATCATATGACTTCAATACCATCTATAAAATGATATATTCCATATGTATATTTCCAAGCCCTACATTCAGCTTTCTAACTATTTGATTGATGTTTCCACTTAGACGTCTAATGAGGATCCCAGATTTTACATGACACACACTCCCCAATACTCTAGGCCAGGTTTCCCCCCTGAAAATGTCCCCAGGTTAATAATAATACCACCATGAAACGAGGTGTTCAAGTCCAAACCCCAGAACCCAGATTATTTTCCCCATCTCACAATATTCACCTTCTGACCATGAGCGAATCTTGCTGACTTGTCCAAAAGCATCTGCTGCTTGTCTACTCTCCTCATTTCCTCAGTCAGCATCCAAGTTGAAACCACACTAGTATTTCACCTGGGCCAGCTACAGTGGCTCTAACTGGTCTCCACTTTCAAATCTCTCCTATCCCCCTACATTTTTCAAAGCAGTCACAGTGACCTCACCAGCTTAACATTCAGGAGGATTTATTCTATTTTATATTCAATATCACAAATTTGACCTTCAGCATTTACTTTGTATTTTTCATCACTACTATGGATTTTATTTAGCTTTTGTTGGAAACATGTACTTTAATGGAGGAAATTGAAGGGGAAAAAAACATAAGTAGAGATATTGGGAGGGCACTATCTATGCCTGGCATGGTGACCACAGGAAGTTACATCCATGTCTGCAAGGAAGCCAGCCTAAGGCTCAATTCCTGTTATCAGTGTGGCCGAGGGTGAGTTTATCAAAGAGGGACTCTGCCACACCATCTTTCAGGCCCCCCCACTCACTACTTAGAATGAACAAACAATAACATTTCCAAATTTTAAAACAAAAGTTTTATGTAAACTTGAAGACCACTTTATTTTAATCAGAATGCAATACCATTCTTGTCATTTGTTCTGCAGAGGCAGTCACTATGAGGAATTCTAGACCATGTTTTATATTGTACCATGCACAGGCACCCACATATACTAGGCCAAAGACCACGGACCGCACCTCACCCCACCCTTCCTCACTTCACCCCAACCTGCATGTCCACACAGTTTATACAGGGAAGAATAATTTTGTGTTTTCCATGAGCCAATGGAGTATCTTTCCCCTCCATCCATGAAGAACCTAAGCTGCATGGGAATGGGGTATGTGTGGGAGGGTGGAGAGCCCCCTGGATACCCGTTTTAAACCCGCACACAGAGATCTACCCTTATTCCTCAAAGGTGAGAGTTTTGCATACACAAATCAACCAGATACCTTTACTGTTTCAAGAACCAGATAACTTTATTGGAAACAATGGTAACACTGAAAGGAAAAAACTTAAGTGAACATTCTGAAAGAGCAATCTGCACGCCAGGCTGGTGGCCTGACCCAGGGAAGGCACCCGTTGCTGTGGGGACAGTCCCAGCTCAGTTCTTCTTGTCACGGCCACCCAGGGTGAACTTGTCAAAGAGGTACTCGGCCAGGACGGCGTCCCGGGCCCCGATCTTGCACAGGTTGGTGAAGTGGCTTCCCAGCTCCTTGATGGTCTCGACCTCCTCCTGCAGGTAGTGGCTCTCCAGGAAGTCGCAGAGCTGCGCGTCGCCCTTGATGGTGGCCAGCGCGGCCGGGCGAGCCCACGAGGCACGCAGTTCGCGTGTGCAACCTGGGTGACTTCGGCCACTGTCTGGCTCTGTTGAATGTTTAGTTTTTCCAATAACATTGCTAGTGTGCAAGGAACCTTTCTCTTATCCTCTACGAATTCTTCCTCCTCTTAAGCAGCCTGTCTCATTTTATAATCTATTGTGCTTCCTTTAAAATACTGGACGGTACCACGAGACTCTGTAACTGCTCTCCGACTGCGGGTGGTGAAGAGCGGTCGCCGCTCTCTCTGTTCTGTCGCTGTGATGTCTCGTCAGGGGGCGCTGCCCCGCCGCCTAGCGCCCTCCCAGATATTCACTGGGGCGTGTATGCGAGCGCGCGAGGAGCGCGGGGCGCAACGCGCCAGCGCCCCCCATTCCCGCGGCGCTGGCCACCTTGCCTCAAATGATCTGGCAAACTTTGTCGCCATTCATGTATTGGGACTCCAACGGCGATCTATGTTCGGATTGAAGCACTACGGTACCTTACAAAGCTGAGTGGATCAGTGTGATGTCCTTTCGCTAATAGGCTCTCCTGTGAATGAGAGGCATAGTGGGTCAGCTAGGGAGTGGTCTTCTCCTTTGGGGATAGTTCTTTGGCTCTTGCAGGTGGAATAGGAACTTCTCCATGGCAAAAGCATGGCATTTTCTCTGGCATTGGAAGCCTTTAGTGGATTTTTCTGCTAGGTAGATGTGTGCTTTCATGTTGTTTTCCTTCTGCTGTGCAGTTCTGCTGTTTTCTCAAACCTTGCTCTGGTTGGTGCCTTTCTGGTCAAGTAGTTACTGTCTGTGGAGTGTAGTATGGGGGTCCTAAAACCATCAAATGCCACTGATGTTCCTGCCTCTGACAAATGTGAACCTGGAAGAGCCAAATCTTTCAAGATGGATCCTAGTGGCTAACTGGCCATAAAATTGAAATAGAGCCAAGCAGCCTTTTCTGACTAGAGGTCACTACACACACCTCTGTTCAACTTTGGGACTTCTAGAGCTCATCCTAACCAACCTGCTAATCAGCCTGCACCTAAGCAACTGATGAGGGCTCAGCAGTATCAACCAATGGGAATGAAGCAAGTTAGAATCCTTCATTTGCATAAACAGACTAGAGGGGAACCTGCACAGGAACTTCTGCTATAATATCCAAACCCACCCTTTGTTCTCTAGAATATACTCTTTTCTTTTACACTGAAGGTAGCATCTCCTTGGTTTGTAAACTTTTCACTCTTTCCTTCAACTTCCTTTTCAAAGAACTTTTGTTCACACGCCCAATGTAAGCAGGGGTGAATGAGGGGCAGAGCAGGCTAGGGGCAGGTGGATTCTGGCATTCAGGAAGTAAATCTTTAAAATGCACAGTGACTACGGAGCCTGCATCCGTTTATTTTCAGTGACCTATGTTCTTGACTTTAGTGTGGCTTAGCGTTCACAGAAGGGTTTAATTCTCTGGATTTCCAATCTGAAAGTTCTCACATTTCTATCCCTCGCAAGCAGTTCTTCCATTCTTGGTTGTTAACTGTATCCTTGTCATTAATAGTTTGTGTGTAGTAGATAATTCTTGTGTGTCTAGTCTAATCACCATCGATCAATTTATTTTTTTTTTTACTTTTTTAGACAATTTTTGTGTTTTTATTTTTTATTGAACTAATAATGTACATATTTTGGGCCCCCCAAAACATTGATACATTGTTCGCATTCATATAATCAAATTAGGGTAATTGGGAATCCATGACCTTAATATTTATCTTTCTTGTGAGAACATTCAAATCATCCTCTGTAAGTTATTTTAATCTTAATAGATTAATGATAACTAGTCACCGCTACCGAGTCCTATAAAAATAACAAATATTTTCTAAATAATTAATACATTTACTGTTGTCAAAAACCACATGGTTTTTACTCTGCAAACAACCAGGGACTATTATTTTATAATCAGTAGGAAAAGGAAAGAAATAATCATGTTAACAAAAATATAGTGATATAAGACGGGAACCTTAGGAACATATTCTGTTTATAAACGAACCTATTCTCCCTTAAGACATGTGAGCATTTACAAAAAGACATATTCTGGGGCCAACACAACATGATTATAGTGGATCAAATCATGGAAGATAACCATTCTTTGACCAACAATGAAATAAATAATCATTATAGAATAATCACACGTAAAGAATCTGAAAAATCCAAATAATTGGAACAAATAATACACTTCTAAAAAACATAGGTAAAGCAGAGGTCCAGGAGTATTAAAACTTGGGACTAAAGTTACAAAGTACAATGCAACATTTGCGGGATTCACCTACAACCAGTGGCTTAGAGGAATTAGAGCCACTAAAATGCTTATATCTAGAAAAAGAAGAAAGACCTCAAATCAATATC